GGGCTCAGTTCCTTTGGACGCTGAGCAGCCCCAGCTCCCCCAGCCTTTCCTGGGCAGGGAGATTCTCCAGACCCTTCCACATCTCCACATTCTCCACTGGAGCCTCTCCAGGAGCTCCCTGCCCTGAGCAGCCCCGAGATGGACACAGCAGTCCAGAGGTGCCTCCCAGGGCTGTGCAGAGGGGCAGGATCCCCTCCCAGACCTGCTGGGAATGCTCTTCCTAAAGCCCCCCAGGACACACTGGATCACAGATCTGGCAGAATCCAGAGCTGGGGAAGGGGCTGGAGCCCCAGGAGTGGCTAAAGGGGCTCAGCCTGGAGCAAAGGAGGTTTGGGGGGCACCTTCTGTCTCTCCACAACTGGTGACAGCCAGCACCTGGGTGACAGGCACCTCTGAAAATAAAAAAAAACTCTGGAAAAGGTCAGAGGAGAATTTTAGGAARCACTGTTTTACCTGGAATTAGCTGGGCAGCACCAGAGATTTGGGAAATGGGAGCTGTCACTGCTTGTGCTGTGAGAGGATGTGATCAAGGAGAGTTGAGTGTTCTGTCCAGAATTTTCCCTGGGAGAGGCTGGGATGGAATTCCCAGAGAAGCTGTGGCTGTCCCTGGATCCCTGGGAGTGCCCAAGGCCAGGCTGGATGGAGCTTGGCACAAGCTGTGATAACAGAAGGTGTCCTTGTCCATGGCACGGGTGGAATGMGAAGAACTTTAGGGTCTGTTCCAACCAAACCATTCTGGAATTCTGTGATCAATAATTTGATTTTGTTTCCCCTTCCAAAAGAAATTTCTGTCCAGGGTTTATMWTAAGGTGCTCTCAGAGCTGTTGTCRTTWGGAACAGAAARTTCTGAAGGTGATTAAAAAACAGGGAAGGGATTCCTGACTCCCTTTTGTGAGTGTTTTGGTCATTGCCTTTGTGCTGATTTTCCCTGTTTTGTTGCTGTTTTGCAGATGGGACACCCAGGAATGCCCCACTATCCCCCCATGGGGATGCATCCCATGGGGCAGAGACCTCCCAACATGCCCCCAGTTCCCCACGGGATGATGCCTCAGATGATGCCCCCCATGGGAGGACCCCCGATGGGGCAGGTAAGACCCTTCCCATGATGGTGCCAGGGAATTCCTCAGGTGGGAAAATCTCCCTGGGAAATGGAAAATCAGTGATCCTGGGGACTTTTATGCTACCCCGGTTAAAACTCTTCACGTGAAAAACAGGGTATTCATACACCTTTATAACTTTAATTATAAATTGCTATAAGAACAAGCAATTAATGCATTTCTAACTTTAATTATAAGCAGGTATTAATCCATGATTTGGGATTTATTAAAGCTTTTTGGAGGTTTCCTGCAGATTTTGAAGTAATAAGGTTGTCTTGGGACTTCATGTTCAATTCTTGGCTAATTCCTCCATCCACACAGATGACAATTATAACAAGGTTCAAGGGAAGAATARGAATATATTGAATTTTTGCAGAATTCCCATTTGATTCCTAGGGATTGGTTTGTAATTCTTGTATTTGGTTGTTGCTGGTGTTATGGGATTAAAAACCAACCCTGCCAGGTGACACAGSCACAACCACGGCCCTGCTTTTGGCACTTTTCACATCAATAACCACAATTCCTGTGTGGCTTCTGATTAAATCCTCAACTCAAAAAAGAAATAATTCTTCTGGGTGTAATAAATATCCCAGGAATGCTTAAAATCCTCAGTGGATACTGAGTGTCACCAAACAGAGCAGAGAGAGGATGGTGGGGAAAGTTGAAGAAAAATGAGGATTTTACTTCTTAGCCCTGAGTGTGTTCGTTAGGAAGTAAAGCAGAAATTCTGGTTTATTCCTCTACATTTTTGTAACTTCTTTTCCACTTCCCACTCTTAGACAGAGGATATTTTAGTATTTCATATTTTAGGGACTTTTTGGTAAATGGAGAGCAAAAAGCTGAAGGTGAATGTCATGTATGGGAGTTGCCCTTTCCTTTGTTAATTTATTCCCTGTGACCTCAGAATTCTGCAGGAATCATTCCCAACCTTTGCTTTTCCTGCTTTCACTTAGGATTCAGTGATGGAATCAGATCCCACATCATTTGATATTGTGCCTTTGGAGTTTAGATTTTCTTTATTGTTATTTCATATCCGACTTTGGAATTTATTCCTCATATAAATATCCCCATTTAGTGGGAATGTGAGGAAGGGAATAAGAATCCTACAAATTTTATTATTTGTTACCTAAAAGGGTTGTTCAGGCTTTTTTAATTAAAAAGGAGCATCACATAATGCTTTTTAAATAAGAATATTGTATTTGATTTTGAAAATAGGATAAAATTTATGGAAAATGTTCTTGAATTGCAGATGCCTGGAATGATGCAGTCAGTGATGCCTGGAATGATGATGTCCCACATGTCCCAGGCTGCCATGCAGCCCACGGTTCCTGTGAGTTTTATTTTTTAAATTTTAAGAGTTCTTTTTTGCAGTTGTTGTTCACTCTTAGTTTGCTTCAATTAGAAAATAAAAATTTCGATTTTAAATGTGTTCTTCATTGCTATGGAGTTGTATGTGGCTCTTGAATGATTGTAAAAATCAGATTTCTGTTATTTTTATATTGTTATATTTCTGTTATTGTTTATATTATTTATATTCTGTTATTTTATATTGTTTTCCTCTCTGAGATCTCCTTTCCACCTTCCTCATCCTTCACTCCATGGGTTTGGCAGAAATCACTGTGACCTTGGACTGTTTGRARGAAGGAAAAATTGTCTGACMAAKAGATTTTTCTCTCTTAAATTTTAAYTTTTTGAGGAGTTTTAATTCAATATTAAAGAAATTTGAATCCATTATAAGGAGATTTTTTGGTATAAGTTCCTGAAATTCAGTTGAGTATAAAAATTGCTGGAATGGCCCAAGGGATGAGGAGTTCTTTGCATGGAAATGGAGAGGGAAAAGTTCAAACAAAATACAGGTGAAGTCTCTGAAGGAAGAAAATTTAAATTCTGWTCTTAGGAAGTAAATTTAATCTAATTCAATCTAAGAGATCCACTTAAAACCAGTTCCAGCCATTTAAATTTAGAAATAAAATATTTTTCTATTTTTTTCCCATGCAGATTCATACCCCTAAGTGAGATTCCTCTGGAATTCCCTGTAGTGCTGAGCACAAACTGTTGCTTTCATTTTTGTGGATTATTTTGACTTCCTGGTGGAAAATTTAATCTGAATAAAGGTCACTGAGGCCAACTGGATGATCCTGGAATGTTTCATCCAAGGATTGTGGTTTTTYCAGGCCATTCCCCTCTGGAAAGCTGATTAGAACCARGGGAATTCCTAAAAAYCAATATTTGGGTCRAATTAATCCTCTTAAAAYACACCACAAATTCCTGACAATTCCSYTAGTTTATTCCAGTTGAATATTATCAAATATAATTGATCCAATGTGGTTTATTTTTAATTTTTAACCAATTTTTCTGTTTTTTTGAGGAAATATTTAAAGTTGGTAGAAGAGAAATGAAAATAAACATGAAGTAAAGCTAAAGGGACAGCCCACAAGGAAAGAAAAGTGGGAAACTTTGGATTCTGTTAATTTTTCTCCTTAGTTGGAAGGAATTTGAGGAAGGAAGATCTCCATGAATGCAACACAAATAGGGAAAAAGGAATCCTTATTTAAGGAATTAGAGCCTTTTGTGGCAGAAAACCATGTAATAATAATAAGATAATAATGATTTATTGGGGATTTAATTCCAATTAATTCAGTATKTGATTGTCTGTTGGTTGTTTTTACAGCCAGGTGTGAACAGCATGGATGCACAAGTAGGTGAGTAAAAAATYTGCTGTAATTTCAAAAAATTATAACAAAATCAGCTGAAATATTTCAAAAACCCACTTTTTCCTAAAATGGGATGGTGCATTTCAATCCTGGGACATTTTTTCCTCGCCTACATTGAGGAATATTTAAAAAAAAAGAAGTAACCAAGCCCTTGTTAAGTTTTATATTTTATTTTATAGGTGTGACCCCTCCTGGAACTCAGGTATGTGAAAAGCACAATTCCAGAAGGTTGGAATGCCAATGTGGTAAATGAGGCTGTAGGAATTTAAAAGAAAACCTTATTTCTATTTTTTTTCTCCCCTTTTTTCCTCCCCTTCCTTTTCTCCTCCGTTTTTCTTCCCCTTATTCCAAGTTTTTGGTTGTTCTTGAAATCCATGGGCCTTGTCCCAACAGAATTATTAAATAAAGATTAATATCCACATAATTTCCATGAGATTTCCATCCTGTGCCAATGGACCATCAGGAAATCCAATTTTCCTTGGCCATACCCAACCACTGCTCAGAGCAGGTGGATGAAGTCCAGATTCCAGGGAATTTGTAGGAAAACTCACCATGGAAAGCAGCAGGAAGTTGAGCTCAGGAAGGCAGAACCTTCCTGAGTTTTCCTTAAGTTTTGAAAACAGGGAATGCCTCTGGAATTTTGACTTGGAGCTGTTGGAGTGTGATCCGTTCCTCTCCACTTTACACCCTTTGGAATGTGGAATTTAACAGCTCCACTGCCAAAGCAGCAGTTTTTTGGGAAAACTGCTGACTTAAGGTGTGATTTTGGCTCCCTGCTTTTSCTGTGCTGCTGAACCATTTGGAAAATCCAGGATTTTGAGGTGAAAGCCCCAATTCACCAGGATTTTCCAAGCCCTGTTTTGTCTCCTCCTCAGACAACGCATCCCGTGGTCTCCACAGTCCAGCAAAGCTCCACCACCACCAGCTCTGCCAGYGAGGATCACTCCAAGCAGGTCTGTATCCCACTATTTTTTGGGGATTTTAATCCCATCCTTTTATCCATAATTAATTTGGCTTCGATTTTTCCCAGAAATCCACGTGGACGGAGCACAAATCCCCAGATGGAAGAACTTATTACTACAACACTGAGACCAAGCAGTCCACGTGGGAGAAGCCAGATGACCTCAAAACCCCTGCTGAGGTACCCCAAATCCCAAATTAATTTGTGGGAACACCAGGATTTCCAAGCCTAATTCCTGCACTGGGGATAGTTCTACTGGAAGCAAACTTTTCCAATRAGAAATGTTCCTAAAATATTTGTATGTGAGGTTCTCCTTGTGGTGGGAGAACCTGAGGGTGAAAAGTGGCCGAAACTCCTCCATTTTCCTCATTTTTAGATGCTTTTTAAAATGAAAAATATGTAATTTTTTAGTAGTAATTAATTTTTTTTTAATTATTTGAGTAACTCTTGGAATCCCAGAATGCTGGAATGGTTTGGGATGGAAGGGACATTATGGATTATCCCATTCCATGGGTAGGGACACCTTCCACTATCCCAGGGTGCTCCACTCTGGCCTTTGACACTCCCAGGGATCCAGGGAGCAGCCCCAGCTTTTCTGGGAATTCCATCCCATGGTTTCACCACCCTCCCAGTCAGGAATTTCTTCCCAATATTCCATCTGGCAGTGGGAAGCCATTCCCTGTATCCTGTCCCTCCATCCYTTATCCCATATAAAAAGTCCCTCTCCCTCCTTTTTATAAACTTTTTATTTTATGTGTTTATTTCTTGCTAAAGAAAATTTTCCATGGAAAAAAATGTTTGTTTTYTCTCCATCAGCAATTGTTATCCAAGTGTCCCTGGAAAGAGTATAAATCCGATTCTGGGAAGCCTTATTATTACAATTCCCAAACAAAGGAATCCCGCTGGGCAAAACCCAAAGAGCTGGAGGATCTTGAAGGTAAAAGGGTGCTGGGCTTGTATTTTTATAAATACATTAATTAATTAACTAAAATAGCATTAAATTCAACTGGGAAAAATTATTTAAAAAAGAATAAACAGCAGTGATGTAAATACTTCATTTTTTATAATTCTGTTGAATAATCCTGACTTTCTGGTTTTTGAACTTCTTTTTYAAAATTAATTATTTTAAACCAAAAAGTCATTTTTATATTTCCCAATCTTCTGTAGTGTCATTTCTAAATTTTATTTTAATATAAATTGGTTAAAGTCTTCAAAGGACACAAACATTAAAATTATAGATAGTACAAAAATATTTAAAACTTTGCTTTTATTCAGTCAATAATTACCAGAACTCCCTCTGTACATAAACTATTTTAAAGCTATATTTTAATCTTTTTTCTCCTTTTTTTTTCTCTAGCAATGATTAAAGCTGAAGAAAACAGGTACGTTTGTAATATTCTGTTAATTTTTTTCCTTTTTTTTCTGAGGGACCTTGAACCTTTTTCCCAAGGGTCATGAAACCTTTTTCCCAAGGGCCTTTCAACCCTTTTTTTCTGAGGGTCTTCAAACCTTTCTTGAAAACCTTCAAAGATTTTTTTGGAGTCTTTAAACCTTTCCTGAGAGATTTGAAACCTTCCAGAGTCTTCATCCGTTTTTCACAAGGGCCTTCAAACCCTTTTTCCCAGGGCCTTCAACACTTTTTGAGAGCCTTCAACCCTTTTTCTTGAGAGCCTTCAACTTTTTTTCGGAGAGTCTTCAAACCTTTTCTGAGAGAGCCTTTGAAGGTTTTTTAGGAGTCTTTAAACCTTTCATGAGAGACTTAAAACCTTTGAGAGTCTTCAGCCCTTTTTCCCGAGGGTCTGCAACCCTTTTTCCCAAGGGCTTTTAAAGTTTACATGGGAACCTTCAAACCTTCATTGGGAGCCTTCAGCCCTTTTCCTGAGGGCCTTCATTCCTTTTTCCTGAGGAACTTCAACCCTTTCCTGAGGGCCTTCAACCCTTTTCCCCAAGGGCCTTTATGCTTTACATGGGAGCCTTCAAATCTTCATTGAGAGCCTTTAAACCTTTCCTGAGGGCCTTCAACCCTTTTCCCCAAGGGCCTTTATGCTTTACATGGGAGCCTTCAAACCTTAATTGGGAGCCTTTAAACTTTTCCTGAGGGCCTTCAACCGTTTTTCTTGGTAGCCTTCAACCCKTTTTYCTKGGGAGCCTTCAACCCGTTTTTCCTGAGGGCCTTCATTCCTTTTTCCTGAGGAACTTCAGCTCTTTTTTCCTGAGGAACTTCAACCCTTTTTCCTGAGGAACTTCAACCCTTTCCTGAGGGCCTTCAACCCTTTTCCCCAAGGGCCTTTATGCTTTACATGGGAGCCTTCAAATCTTCATTGAGAGCCTTTAAACCTTTCCTGAGGGCCTTCAACCCTTTTCCCCAAGGGCCTTTATGCTTTACATGGGAGCCTTCAAACCTTAATTGGGAGCCTTTAAACTTTTCCTGAGGGCCTTCAACCGTTTTTCTTGGTAGCCTTCAACCCTTTTTTCCTGGGAGCCTTCAACCCGTTTTTCCTGAGGGCCTTCATTCCTTTTTCCTGAGGAACTTCAGCTCTTTTTTCCTGAGGAACTTCATTCCTTTTTCTTGAGGAACTTCAACCCTTTCCTTGTAGCCTTCATTCCTTTTCCCTGGAACCTTCATTCCTTTTTCCTGAGGGCCTTCAACCCTTTTTCCTGGGAGCCTTTATACTTTACATGGGAGCCTTTAAACCTTTCCTGAGGGCCTTCAACCCTTTTTCTTAGTAGCCTTCAACCCGTTTTCCTGGGAGCCTTCAACCTTTTTTCCTGAGGGCCTTCATTCCTTTTTCCTGAGAACCTTCGAACCTTTCCTGTGTAACTTCAACCCTTTTTCCTGAGGAACTTCAACCATTTTCCCTGGAGCCTTCATTCCTTTTTTCCTGAGGGCCTTCAAACCTTTCCTGGGAATGTTCAACCCTTTTTTCCTGAGGACCTTCATTCCTTTTTCCTGAGGGCCTTCAAACCTTTCCTGGTAGCCTTCATTCCTTTTTCCTGAGGAACTTCAACCCTTCTCCCCAAGGGCCTTAATACTTTACATGGGAGCCTTCAAATCTTTATTGGGAGCCTTTAAACCTTTCCGGAGGGCCTTCAACCCCTTTTTTCCTGAGGAGCTTCAGCCCTTTTCCCTGAGGGCCTTCAACCCTTTTCCCTGGAGCCTTCATTCCTTTTTCCTGAGACCCTTCATTCCTTTTTCTGAAGGCTTTCAAACCTTTCCTGTGTAACATCAACCCTTTCTCCTGAGGGCCTTCAACCGTTTTTCTTGGGAGCCTTCAACACTTTTACCTGAGGGCCTTCAACCATTTTCCCTGGAGCCTTCATTCCTTTTTTCCTGAGGACCTTCATTCCTTTTTCCTGAGGAACTTCAACCCTTTTCCCTGAAGCCTTCAACCCTTTATCCTGAACCCTTTCAACCTTTCCCAAGTCTTTAACTCTCCCTACCCCCTCATTCCCCTTTTAGCCTCCTCCCTGTGCCCTGTCCCCACACAATGGTGCCCGCAGCTCAGGGCTGTCATTTGTGTCCCCAGCACGAAGCCGGAGGACGCGGCCGCCGCCACCTCAGCCCCCGCCGCCGCCGCCGCTGTGGACGCTCCGAGCGGAGCCGTGGCCGCCCCAACCGCCGACGGTGCCACAGCCACGGCTGCACCCACGGGAGCCACTGCTGAGGGGGAATCTGCTCCGGCTGCTGCCCCGGGGGACACGGATGGTGCTGGGACAGCACCCACCGAGGAGCAGGGCCAGGCTGGAGCCGCCCCCGGAGCGCAGGACGGCAGCACCGACACGGCAGCGGCCACCGTGGAGGAGGCGGCCAAGCAGGAGAGCACGGGAGAGTGAGTGCCAGGGGTGGCTTTGTGCTCCAGGAAAGGGGTTTGGGTGGTATGAGGGGAAATCCTGCTCTGGGAGGGTGGGGAGGGGCTGGGGTGGAATTCTCAGAGGTGCTTTGGCTGCCCCTGGATCCGTCGGAATGTCCAAGGATGGGACATGGAGCAGCCTGGGACAGTGGAAATGTCCCTGCCCATGGAATGGCAGAGATCTGCAAGGTCCCTTCCAACCCAAACCATCCTGGGATTCTGTAATCCCAAAAAACAGTCTTCCAACAAACCTGTAGCACATCCTGAAGTTCTTCAAGGGAATTATTTCATTATAGGACAAGTAGGACAAGAGGGAATGCCATTAAGATGAAGGGCGGCAGGGTTATAACAGGGATTGAGGAAGGAATTGTTTCTTGGGAAGGCAGTGAGCCCTGGCACAGATTTCCCAGAGAAGCTGCCCCTGGATCCCTGGCAGCGCCCAAGGCTGGGTTGGATGGGACTTGGAGCAGCCTGGGACAGTGGGAGATGTCCCTGCCCATGGAATGGCAGTGGATTGGGAGATCTGCAAGCAACCCAAACCATCCTGGGATTCTGTAATCCCAAACACCAAGGTCTTCCCACAAACCTGTAGCACATCCTGAAGTTCTTCAAGGAAATTATTGTAGGACAAGAGGGAATGGCTTTAAGATGAAGGACAGCAGGGTTAGATCAGGGATTGGGGAAGGAATTGTTTCCTGGGATGGCAGTGAGCCCTGGCACAGATTTCCCAGAGGAGCTGCCCCTGGATCCCTAGCAGTGCCCAAGGCTGGGTTGGATGGGACTTGGAGCACTCTGGGACATTGGAAGGTGTCCCTGCCCATGGAATGTCCCAGTGGTGGATTGGGAGATCTGCAAGGTCACTTCCCACTAAACCATCCTAGGATTCTGAATTCCCAAACACCAAGGTCTTCCCACAAACCTGTAGCACATCCTGAAGTTCTTCAAGGAAATTATTTCATTATAGGACAAGAGGGAATGGCTTTAAGATGAAGGATGGCAGGATTAGATCAGGGATTGGGGAAGGAATCCTGGGAAGGTTTCCTGGGAAGTCAGTGAGTCCTGGCACAGATTTCCCAGAGAAGCTGCCCCTGGATCCCTGGCAGTGCCCAAGGCTGGGTTGGATGGGACTTGGAGCAGCCTGGGACAGTGGGAGATGTCCCTGCCCATGGAATGTCCCAGTGGTGGATTGGGAGATCTGCAATGTCCTTTCCAACCCAAACCATCCTGGGATTCTGTAATCCCAAACACCAAGGTCTTCCCACAAACCTGTAGCACATCCTGAAGTTATTCAAGGGAATTATTTTATTATGGGACAAGAGGGAATGGCTTTAAGATGAAGGAAGGCAGGGTTAGATCAAGGATTGGGGAAGGAATTGTTTCCTGGGATGGCAGTGAGCCCTGGCACAGATTTCCCAGAGCAGCTGCCCCTGGATCCCTGGCAGTGCCCAAGGCTGDGTTGGATGGGACTTGGAGCACCCTGGGATGGTGGAAGTTTCCATCTGCCCACCCCATTCCACAATTCCATAAGAATTTACAAAGTCACATGGCAATTCCATAAGAATTAACAAAACCACATGGTGATTCCATAAGAATTTACAAAGCCACACTGCTTTCCTGCAGATTTTCATTTCTTAGGAGCACCAGTGACAGGAATATCCCATTAATTTTCCAGGAGCTGTAGGAATTTTCCCAAGGTGCCATTAAACATTTCCCCTTCATGCTCCTTTTTCATGGATCTGTGCCATTGGTTATCACTGGGAGAAAATAAAATCCTGAAGAGATTTTTTATCTGTTCCAGGCAAAATAGGATCTTGCTTTTTTAGTAATGAAAAATTATGTGGAAAATTATAATTTAGGGTTTTGATCRCTCCAAGAAAAAAAGAAATGCTGTGGGGAATTTTAGACAGCAGGACATAATTAAAGATAACATCCATATTTTTAGGCACTTTTCTTTGCATTTTTATATAAAATATGAATATTCCTGCTGCATTTCAACATTATATTTTTATGAAGAGTTTCTAGCTAACTTCAATTATCAAGCAGCTAGTTGCAGAAGGGAAATATTTTGCTGAAATAATCTGCTTTTTTAAATTTTATTTTCCATCAGTTGTGGTGCCTGTAAGGAGATGTCTTGTGTGAATTATTAGAATTATTTTTTTACTTTGAGTAGCTATTTAAAAACCTCATTCTGTGGTTTTTTATGACTCCTCAGTGGCTCTAACTTAGAAAAAYATGCTGAAATAATAAAATAATTCCYTTTTTAGTGCTGCTGTAAAGAAGGAGGATGAGGAGGCCCAACCAGTTAAAAAAACCTACACCTGGAACACAAAGGAAGAGGCCAAACAAGCATTTAAAGAACTATTAAAAGAAAAGGTATTTGGGCCAATTATTAATATTTTATGGTCTAATTATGAATATTTTATTGTCAAGTTACTAATGTTTTATTGACAAATTATGGGCGTTTTTATTGACCAAATATTAATATTCTATTGTACRATTATTAATATTTTATAGTACTGTTATTAATGTTTTATTGAACAATTATTAATGTTTTATTGGCCACTTATTTATGTTTTCTTGAGCTGCAAAACATGGTTTTATTTTCATTTGCCAGGTTTGACTTTATTTTTTTGTGAATTCCTTACTCYTGTGGAAATGAGGGTTTTCTGGTGAAATGTTGTTTGAGCTCAAAAATGAAATGCTCTGGGGGTTTTTTTTCCCAATTTCTGTTTTTAAGGAATTGTTCCCTGTTGGATGCTGATTCCAGGTCTGATTWATCCCTAATTTTCTGTTTCCACAGCGAGTTCCATCCAATGCTTCCTGGGAGCAAGCCATGAAAATGATCATCAATGACCCCAGATACAGGTACTGAGTCCTTTAACTCCTCACAAACCCTTTTTTAGGGAATTTGACTTCCCAACAATCCAAAATTCTGTCAGTAACAGACACTCCTGCATTTGTGCCATGGGCTTGGAATTTTCTTCTTTCCCTCCATAAAGAAATACTTCCAATAGTTTAATTTTTCATTTGGAAAACGAAACTTGGTATTTCATCCTGATGTGGGGATTAAAATGTTTCAATTATATTTCATCTTATCTCAAATCTGGATTATTCAAACCTGTTGCCTTTTGCTTTTTGGCTGTGTTTTTTCTCATATATTTTCCTTTTTTTTCCCTCCTCTCCTTTTTTTTCCCTCCTCTCCTTTTTTTTCCCTCCTCTCCTTTTTT